AAATAAAATAGAGCCAGGCATTTCCGGAAGAGATGGGCGACGCACGAACCAGAGGGCACAGGGGGCACCCCGCCCCGCTAGAAAAATAAAATTTCTTTTTGACATGTCTTCTTTCAAAAATTCTTCTTTATTAGTGTACCTGTGTTAGTGCCAGTGCGCGCCAGTATCATGACCAGCGTCAGACGCGAAGGATGTGCGAGGTGCCGCCGCCGGCACCACCAAAGCTCGAGCGCACGTGCCGGTTCAACGAACGCGTCCATTTTCCTCTCTGGCGCACAGAGATCTCTCACGACCGTGCCGCAGGCTGCCACTGGCAGTCTCTCTCAACGGCCCCGAGACTCTTCTTGCAGAGCGCTCGCCAGGAGCGCGCGATCGCAGAAACGGCCGCTACAAACTCTAGAGCTCTACCGCATATTTGCATGCAGATGAAGACATGGAAGGCGATAGCCTCGGACCGCGTGGTTGGGTGCAGGAGGCGATTCCGCCCGCAAATCCCCACCACGGTCCGCTTCGAGTGGCCGCGATCTACGCGGGTCGCTGGCTTGGGCCCGAGGGATCCTCAAAGACCGTGAGCGACCACCTCGTGAACTTCATTCGGCCAAACCTGGTCGAGGTCTTTGTCGCGATCGACCCCACCAGCTGGTGCGCAGCGCCAAAGAAGGCGCGCCGCGCGTATCTGGCGGGTGATGTTGCAACTGCCGAGGCCGTGCTGACCCAGCAGGCCGTCGCGCTCTTCGAGCATTGGCCACGGCTGCACGTGGCGCTGGTGCCAGCGGAGGACCCTAGCCCGCCGCATGATTATGGCCTTCAGGCGAAGAAGGCGATGAAAGCGGCCACCGGGAAAACGAGTCCCGGCCGAGTAGCAGTTTTCATGCACAGATGGTACATGCAGTTCGACCACGTCGCCAAGGCGGAGCTATTTCGGCGTGCTATGGGCCGCACGATGTGGTGGTGCGGCTTCGGCTCGATGTGGCGCTCCGCTTGCCGCTGGCCTTGCAGGCCGTGGCAGGGGAGAGGATTCAACTCGTATGCAATGGTACACGCCAAGTGATGAGCTTCCGTCGCGACCCGCCGCTACAGGACGCGATTGACGATGAGTCGCACGCCGCTGCCCATCCGAACAGGGGCCACGGAGGGCTGGAGCTCGGCACTTACGGCTACCATGTGTTGCGCCCTAAGGACTCAGCCGACTGGACTAGTGCTCATATGACCCGCTGCCTGCCAACTGGTGAGACGAGCGGCTTCGTCACCGACAGCCATACGATAAAGCAGTGTGGAGCAGCTGCAGCAGCTCTGCGACACGGGCGCCTGTTCCTACATCATGGCGCTGCGGGCTCGGCGGCAGTAGAGGGAGGGGCCGAGGGACCATACCCCCCCCACCCCTGTCGAGGGCTAGCCTTGGGCGGTCAGGACCATACCCCCCCACCCTTGCAGGACCATACCATACCCCGGAAAAGTTGGAACCCTGTCTCGACGGTCAAACGAGTCCACTTCCTTCGACCGCCTGCCTCTCTGCCTCTCTGCCTCTAGCCTCAGCGATGAGCGACGACGAGTGGGAGACGGATCCGGACTACGAGAACAACATCTCGGAGTCTGATCGGCGGCGGGCCGGCACCGCCGCCGCTGCCGAGGGGCTGCGGCACGACCGGCTGACTGGCTTCACTGCCGAGCTCTCCAAGTCTTTCTCGGCCGGGCTTCCGGGCGGCGCGACCTCCGAAGAGGGGAGTGCGGGAGCGAGGAGGGCCGAGGAGGAGCGCGCCCGCATCGCGGCCGCCCGCGAGGCGGAGCAGGCGCGCCGGCAGCAGGCGGCGGTCTGCAGGCAGAAGAAGGAGGAGGAGGAGGAGGCGGCGGCGAGAGCAGAGAAGGAGAGGGCGGTCCGGGAGGCAGCGGAGAGGGAGGTGGCAGCGGAGAAGGCAAGGGGGGAGGCGAGGGTGAAGGCGGAGGCAGAGGCGGCAGAGGCGGCGAGGGCGGCGGAGATGGAGAGGGCGGCGGAGATGGAGAGGGCGGCAGAGGCGGCGAGGGCGGCGGAGATGGAGAGGGCGGCAGAGGCGGCCAGGGCGGCGGAGATGGAGAGGGCGGCAGAGGCGGCCAGGGCGGCGGAGATGGAGAGGGCGGCAGAGGCGGCGGCGGCGGCGGCGGAGGCGGCGAGGGCAGCTGAGAGGGAGAGGGCTGCGAGGGCTGCGCTGAAGGAGGCGGAGGCAGCCGCTGCGGAGAGTGCTCACCGGGAGGAGGCGGCGGCGGCAGAGGCGGCACGCGTGGCACGCTTGGAGGCGGAGCGGCGGCGGCGTGAGCGGGAAGAGGAGGAGAAGGCCCGAATCCAGGCAGATGCGGCGGCGGAGGCGGAGGCGGAGAGGCGGCGGCTTGAGGCGGAGGAGGAGGCGCGGGCATTGGCGGCGGAGGAGGCGTTGAGGGTGGCGGAGGAGGCGAGGGCGGCGGAGGAGGCAGAGGCGGCGAGGGTGGCGGAGGCGGCGAGGGTGGCGGAAAAGGAGGCGGCGGCGGCGGCCGCGAGGGCAGCGGCGGCGAGGGCGGCGGTGGAGGAGGAGACGGCGAGAGTAGCGGCGGAGGAGGAGGCGGCTTGGGCCGCCCTGGAGGCAGAGGAGGCGGCAGGGGCAGGGGCCGCAGCGGCAGAGGAGGCGGCGGGGGCAGAGGCGGAAGCGGAGGCGGAGGCAGCAGCGGCAAAGGCGGCGGAGGCGCAGGCAGCGGAGCGGGAGCGGGCGGCGGAAGAGGCGGCGGAGACTGAACCCTCGGCACGGGTGGAAGCTGAAGCCAGGCTACGGGCGGCGGCGGAGCGGGCGGCGGCGGAGCGGGCGGCGGAACAGGAGGAGGCGGCGGCGGCGGCGCAGATGGAGCTGGCGGTACGGGAGGAAGGCGACGCGGTGCCGACCTCGACGCTGCCGCCGCCGCCACCTCCCGCGGACGGCGCCTCCCAACATCCAAAGGGTCGGCACGATCTCCCACAATCTCCCACAATCTCCCACACTCTCCAGAAGCCAAAGGGGCCGACAAAGGGTCGGAAGCTCTTCAACCCGCGCGCGGGGCGGAGGGACTCTGCCCTCTGCGACTTCAACCGCGACCTCTCCGCGCCGCAGACCGGGCGGCCGTCCAAGCCGCCCGCGCCGCCGCCGCCCGCGCCGCCGCCGATACAGCGGGCTGCGGGGGAGGAGGAGGGTGAGGCGTTGCCGGTGGCGCCGCTGGACTTGCGGGCGGGGCAGCGCGTGATGGCGATGGCGCCGGACGGGGAGGGCGACGGCGCCGGCGACGCGCGGTGGGTTGACCCCCGCCGCGAACGATCCCTGCTGCCTCGCCCTCGCGGCTGCCTTTGACCTGCCCTGCCGCCTCTCCCGCTGCCTCTCTTCTCTCCCCCCCCTGGCCGTGCCTCGGCCGAGCGTGACCATTGCCACTCTCCCCCTTCTCCTCCTGCCCCCCCCCCCTCCCCCTCCATCCCCTTCCCCCTCCTCCTCCAGCAGCCGTGACACCACTGGTGAGTCCTTGCGCGTGGTTTGCCACAGGTGGGTGCCCGGCCGCGTCATCGCAGAGCGCCATGTCGACGGCGCGCGCCAGTTCAAGGTCAGCTGCGACGGCTACGACTCGGAGGTGCGGTTGAGGCCCGTGGGCGCGAGATGGCCCGAGATGGCCCGAGATGGCCCGAGATGCGCCCAGATTGGCCGAGCCGACGTGCGAGCGGAGAGGTGCGACTTTTGACGCTGCCGCAGCGCCTGAGGACGGCTGTAGACTCTCGTGTATGCCCGTCCCCTACCCTGCCCTGCCGTGAAACCCACTCTGCCCTGCCCCGCACAGCCCGCGCTGCCCTGCCGTGAATAGCCGGGGTCCCGCAACCCCCACAAAGTTGCAACCCAACGCGCGTGTGCAGGACGACGTGTGGGTCGAGGCGGCCTCGAGCAAGGTGCGGCTGCAGCAGGCGGCGGCGGGGCGCCACGGCGCCACCCACGCCACCCACGCCAACGAGGAGCACGCGGCGGCGCGGAAGCGCGCCGAGGAGCGCCGCGCGCAGGGCTACTCTCGCCACCGCGAGGCGATGCTCTCGGGCGAGCGGATGGCGGACTAGGGGGGGGGGCGCTCGATGTTGGTTGGCAGCAGGGTTGACTGGGCGGGTGGTGGGGCCTGGGGGTGGAAGATGGGAGCGCTCTCGGTGCGCGTCGACGCGACGCGCCACGCGCGAGCCCTCGTGTGGGGCGCGCGCACAGCACGGATGGGTCCTCCTGATTTGGGTTACTCTTCTCTCTTGATGCGGGATGTGATGGTTTGATGCGGACCTACCAGAGATATTTTTATTCCATTATATTGTGTACACTCTCTTCTCTCACCAGAGCCGCAGAGGAAAGCAAAACGAGTCACTAACTCGTAACTGCAGGCCAGGGGAGGCCCAGCGGTGAGAGTGGGACGCCGCGAGGCGACATGGGCCCATGGGCCATGGCGGTCACGCTCACGGCGAGCGAGACGGACAGAGAGACTTTTTCGACGGGAGAGGGGGCAAGAGACGCTGGATGCGTGTCCCGGGACGCGGGACCTCGCAGGTTTTCATGCTCTCTCCTAGACCGCTAGACCTAGAGCCCTGCGAGAGCGGCGAGTGTGGTGAGAGCCAAGGGGCGCTCCTCTCTCCATTGTTTTAAAATGAGACTGACTCAGGCTTCAAGCCTCTCTCACAGCACACTCTAGCTGATGAGGGGAAGCCGGCCATGAAAATGAGCAGGGAAACCGTACGACACGACACTACGCCGTGTCGCCACACGACGCGACACGGATTTCGCAAGCGGCTCTGCACACCTGTGAACAGCTATCCCTTTCTCGACTGTCTGAGATTGTGCGTCTTGGGTCCGTGGTTGTGTTTTTGTGTGAACAGCGTCACACAAGAGTCCTTCTCTCTCTCGAGGTGTGGGCTTCCGCCGGCCGCTGCCGCCGAAAAGGGAAAATGCCGCGATTTAGTGCCTCGGAGAGCTTCGCCTTCTCCGAGTGGCGGCCCACCGAAGCTGCCGCCGACAAGCTCGAGGCTGCCGCCGCGGACAAGGCCAGCGCTGCACCACCGTGCGGAGGCGTGGTGCCGCCAGAGCTCCTTCAGATGGGCGAGGCGGTCGCGGAGGCCTTGGGCCTGTACGCGCGGCTGGCTGCCGAGCGGCACGTCGGCGTCTGCTCACATGTCCTTTCCCAGGCCTCGGCGCTGCTATCAGAGAGGCCTGAACCGGCGCCGACGAGTCCAGCCTCTCTGCTCGACGCCCTGGTGGCGGAGCACGAGCGCGAGCTGCGCGACAAGGACGCGTACCACACGCGCTACGAGGAATGTGCGGAGGAGCAGCGGCGAGCGCTCGTCAGCCGCGTGCTTGCGGTGGAGGAGAAGCAGGCCGCGAGCGACGCCACCGCAGCAGCCCTCCAACAGGCAAACGAGTCGATCGCGCAGCTGCAGTCGCACGGTGCGCCGCCCCCGCCCGCCCCGCGCGGCCAGACCCTCGCTGAGCCGAGATGGCAGCCTCCCTCTCTTACCGCAGGCGAACGCCTGGCCGCAGACCTGAGTGCCGAGACGGAGCGGCGCGCGTCCGCTGCTGAAGAGGTGTGCCAGCATCGCACCTTTGGCCTTGCAGCACGCCCACCCTCACGCCCCCGCGGCCTAAAATCGTGCCCATAGGCACGGGCCCACGGCGCAACCATCGAGGCGCTACGAGCGCAGCTCCACGAGTCCCGGCTGTCGATGTCGGCCGGCGCGGCATTGCTGAGCTCTCTCCAGGCTGAGGTGGCATCGCTCCGGGCCAGCCGACGCCGAGGGGAGCTCGAGACGTCGATCGTCGCGTCCGAACTCGAGGCGATCGAGGAAGCCTCGCGATCCGTCGGCCCCGCAGACTCACCCGCCGCCGCCGCCGCCGCCTCAGCCGCCGGATCTGCTGCTGTCGTCGCCACCGTCGCTCCGTCCAGCTTTGGTGTCGGTGCGCCTGGTCAACTCAGCCCAAATCCCACCGATCCAGCTGTTCCTTTGGCCACGCCCGCTCCGATCGACGCGGCATGCGGGCAAGGCGACATGTTCGACGCTTCGCCGACGTCTGGTGGTGGAGAGCCAACCCCACGGTCCACCTCGCCGCCTCGGCCGAGCTTCGCGGAGAGCCTTGGCGAGTTGCAGGCTTGTATGGCGAGGTCGTCGCTGGGGACGGGTGGAGGCTCCTCAGTGGTCGCCGTCGCGATGGCGTCCGCAGACGCTGGGGCCAAAGAGGCCCGTGGCTTCAACGGTGCCAGTGACTCCGATGCCACGCGCCTCTCTGCATCGTCTGACGAGGAGTGCAGGGCCGCCGACGATTGCGCGACGGACAAGCCAGGCGCAGGCTGCCCGGTCCCTGTTCCGGTCGGTGCCCCTGCTGCCGAACGTGAGGGTGCAGCACAAGGGGAGACCACTCGGGCGGTGGCGCCACCCGCCCAGCTTCGAGAGATCCGAGCAACGTCCCCTCTGCAAAGGCAGCCTCAGCCACAGGCGCCGCCAGCCCTTCCGCCAATGCCGCCAGCACGGCCATTGCAACCGGCGGCGACGGCGTCGGTGGCGGTTCGGCCGCGCCATCTGACCTCCACCGCTCCGCGCCCACCGCCTCCGGGCCGCACCCTGTTTGCGGCGCGGGCTCAGGGTCAGGCGCCTCCCGCACCAGCAGCGCTTCACGCAGCAGCGAGCGCAAGCAGCGCCACTGCTGCGCCCTCCGCTGCCGCCGCCAGCCGATTGCCTGGCCAACTCGCCATCGCTGGAGGCGTTGCCACGCGGCGTGCCCCCTCGAGCGCGTACGCCACGCCTCACGCGGCCAGCTCCCACACCGCCTCGCGCTTGCTCGCTGCCGGTGGCGACGGCGCAAAGACGCGGCTGCCGGAGGCCGCGAGCGCCTTTGAGTTCACCAACGTGCCCTCGCACATCTCCCACGACCTGGCTGGCGCGGGCCCACCCGCTGCGCTGCCCACGGCACCTCTTGCCCCGCCCACAGGCCCTTAGAAGCCGCTGCGTCAGGAAGAGGCGTGTGTGGTTGTAGGGGCCCCAGCCCAGCGCACTCCACGAGCCGGTGGCCTCGAGCGCTGTCTCTGCCCCCGCACCGCCGCCGCTGGAGCTGGTGCGCCGACCCCCGCTCTCGCCTCGTCCGTCGGCATCTCTGCAGTCGCGTGCGTGCAGCGAGACGCCGCGGCCAAGCGCGTCGAAGCGACCAGCGGCGTCGCCAGCAGCTACGCCGACGGCGGCGGCGGCTGGTGACGCGGCGTCGGTTGCTGCATGGAGGCGCGAACCAAAGCCTCCGAGCCGAAGCCACCCGCACCACGCGCACCACGGCGTGCGTTTCCCTCTCACTGCTTCTGTCGCGCGCGTGCGCACAGGAGCCCCTCCCTCGCACGACTCTCGACGCCGTCTCCGGCAGCGGCGCAGCGCGGGGGGCGGCGGCGCGGCCTCTCGTCTCACTGTAGCCGGGGCAAAGCGCGGCACTGTCGATAGGCCCTTGCTGCCAAACACACCGGCCACCACGCGCTGTCGAGCGTCCCTCGGGAGGTGCTGCAGGCGTGGCCAAAGACCGCTTCGAATCATGATAGATCACACTTATGATCACCCCTCCACTCTTCAGCATCTCTCGCCGCCCCCCTCTGTTGTGGCGTATGTGCGTGCCTTCCCAGGCTGTCGCGCTCTTTGGCCTCGACGACGCTCTCGCGACGTTGATCAACCCTCCGGCGCGCATGGCCATGGCCGGCGCGCTGCCGGCGGCTGCAACGCCCTCGCCCGGCCAGCAGGTGTTGGCGGCTGGCCTTGCCCATCGCCACTCACCCCCCCTCACCGCAGCGCATAGCGGCATATCGCCTCTCGCCTCTCTGATCTCGCTATCCCCGCAGGCGTGGTACATGCAGGGCCCGTGCGCGCCCCTCTCGCCCGGGGCTGCGCCAGCTGCAGCGACGACCCCGCACCGGCCGCTGGGCCCACCACGGCGGCCGCCGCAAAGCGTTGAGCGGGCCGCGTCGATGACATCCACCACCATCAGGGCGCCTTTCCCCCCCCCCCCCCCTCCTCCTCCCCCTTTCCCACCTCCTCCTCCTCCCCTTCCCCCCTCTCCACTCCCTTCCCCCTCCCCTCCGTCTCCACCTTGATTTCACCTCCCCCCCCCCGCGCCCGCCGCACTGCCTGCTGCGCGAAGATGCCGCCCCTACGACGCCCGGTCCATCCTCTCCGCTCAGGCGCGGGTCCCCCAAAACAAGAAGAAGCGGCGGCGCGCCGGCCACGCCGTCTCTGCGCGGTCTGCACTCGGCCCCGTGCGCAAGCTCGACCTCTTCGCTGAGGACGACTGAGGTGGAGGCTCAGCAAGCGCGGACACTCGTGCAGAGTGCGCATCGCGACTTGCTCTCGAGATGGCTGGGTGGGCTGGTTTGCATTGGGCTCGGAACGCGAGGTGCGGGGAGGGGAACCTGGGGGTGGCATCTCTTTCCCTCTCTGTCTCCATGTTGCGGCGCGGCAAAACCGGGCGGGGCGCACACCGCATTTCAGTGCACCCTCGCGGCCCTCGCGGCGGGTGGGACAAGCCGCGTCGATGAGCGAGGTCGTGTGAGATTTTCCTTCACCACTGTCCTGTGTGGAGCGTCAGAGCGCGCGTCCGAGTCGAGACATCCGGTGGCATCCCCCACACGGCGGGACACTACCCTCTCTCTCGTCGAGTCTCGAGAGAGATTCGCTGAGCGTGTGGCTGTGTGACGTGTGGGCGTGTGGGCGTGGTGACTGACCACCAACCTGGTTTGTGGACCTCCCACACCTGTCCTGACAGTCCTGACAGAGTCCTGACAGAGTCCTGACGACTTAACAAATTATCCCGTGACGAAAAACGAACACACACCAAGCGCTAAGCGTGAGGACACGATTTCGAATTCGTAGGCGAGCATCTGAGCAAAATTGAGCCCGCTCAGGTGTGAACAAAAGATATAAGGGTCGACCAGGTTTCGAACTGGGGACCTCCCGCCAGCGGAAGGCTTTCAGCAAGATACGCTGGGGTTGAAACTAGGTCTCAGCTCGGGAACCCTATATAGCATACCGGAGGAATTAGACACCACAGATACGCACACACCGACGCCCGAAGTGCCAAGAAGGACGTCATTAGTACGAGAAACCTCAGAAGGCCATGGGCGCCGAGAGAACATTCCCCCGAGAGGACAAAAGAAAGTCGACGCACCCCCTCCTTGCGCAGTGTCCCCCGCTATATGTGTCTGTCGCGGGGCAGGTTTCCGTATGGATGGCGTTGGAGCCCGAGGGTTGCGGAAGGCACGCGGCGGGGTCGGGCACTTGGTGGTGGTGCCGACCGCCGCCACCGGTGGCCGCCGCGCCGTAGAGCGGCCCGTCGGTCTTCCTACCGGCGGTGCGCGCGGCCGCGCTCGGAGGCGCTGATTGCTCGGCCGCGCGGGGCCGGATGACTCGCCCGCTGGGGGTGTGGTGCACGGGGTTTGCGGCGGGGCCCCCATCGTCCCCGCCGCCCGCGCGCCGCCGCCGCCAGGGTGGCGGCGATGGTGGTCCTCTCGGTGGTGATGTCGGTTTGCGCTCTCTATGGTGTCGAAGAGCACCTTTGTCTCCTGCTCGAGGTCTCAGACGCGAGCCCCGAGGGCTCGCGCTCGCGACCTGCCCCGGAGAGTCTCGAGCTGCACACGGAGGCGCTTGACCTCCGCGCGCGCCCACGCGAGTTCGGCGTGGTTCGCCCGTCTCTCGGGCTCGTGGGACGTGCCGTCCAAGTCGACGTAGCGATCTCCCTTGTCTGGGGGAAGATCGCCCTCCGTGTCTGCCTCCTTTCCTGCAGTCCGCCGCGGTGGGCTCGTCGAGCCGCGACGTGCCGCGTACTTGCGCACCTCGGGCAGCGCCGGGGGCTTGCCCGTGTGGGGAGCACGGCCGCCGGCCGCAATGCCCGTCCGGACATCGACCAGATTCGATCGATTTGATGGATCCCTTGATGGTCCGATGGGCGACGGGCGACCCCCCCAAACCCCCCCACCGGGTCTCGAACCTGCCTCCACTCGCTCGAATCAGGCGCTTCGAACGGCTTTGCAAGCCGGCTTGCAAAATTGACGGCTACTGCGCTGCACCGCCTCATATAGTACCATTTTATTGCTTCAGACCAACGCCACGCTACGTTCTAGGGACGCAGAGCGCGCACTGAGAGACCACTCACATCGCTGTTGCGGGGCGGCAATGTGACTGGACTCGCCGTGCGCGCCCAGCTAACCCTAGCCACCAGCCTACGCCATACCCAGGTACGGTCGTACCTGTCTCTCCACTTAGCCATCCCAACCCCTCGGGCGACCGCGCAGCTGCGCTACTCACAGGCAGTCTCCCTGCCTCAGCTGTTACAGGCACCACCCACCGACCAGTCTCGACGACGAGCCGTGGCAGGGCTCGCTGCGCCAGCTGCACAGCAGTACGCCACAACACAACATATTATCCAACATAACCTCTCCCTGAGTGCCCTACCCTTGCGGGCTCAGTTGCCGCATTAGGAGCCTTCGCACCGCGAGTGGGCTCAGGTGGGATCCACACAGAGAGAGGTTCAGTACAGAGCCGCACTCTACACACCTTATCCCCCTACTCGGGCGGCATCGTGGTGAGACCCTGGGCAGTCAGAGAGGCTGGCAGTAAGTGGCGGGCTATGAAGTCGGGCCTCTCCCGACCCGCCATCGTTGCCTAAGGGAGGATCCTATCGGCCACTAGACCATGACAGATCAGAGGCGTACATGCCCTGTCCCAGCTCCCCCACTCCTCACACTGGGTTTGCAGTGCGCGACCTCGCCACCTCGCTACCAGGGCAAACCCCCTCTCTCCCCCTAGGTGCTGCACTGGACGTCCATAGAAGGCGCGCGGCAGAGGCGGGAGTGAGGCGGGGAGAATCTAGCTCGCTCCGGCAGGGAGGCAAGGGTGTGATAGAGTGTTTGGGTGAGAACAGGCGGAGCGTGTGTGCCTGGGCGCGATTGGGAGGGCACTTGTGACGAGGCATGGTTAGGCGAGTGGCAGTCGCTGGTGCGGACTTGCTGAGTCGTGTGTGCTCCTTTTTGCTTGCTAAGACTGGAACAATTTTTTTGCGTGCCCCCGAGCCCCCCCCCCCCCCCCCACACCGCCGCCGCCGCGCGACTGCCGCGCGGCGGCACACCCAGCTCAAAAGAAAAGAAAAAAGGGAATGTTTGTTTTTCTGAACAGCGCCGCGCGCGGAACGCGTTCACGTGCGTGCTGTTTCATGTGTTTGTGTCGCTCGCTCTTCAGCCCAACCAGGGTCCGGGCACGTGACTCGTGAGCTGCACCTGTCCTAAGGGCACTCCGCGAGCCGGCGGCGCGCGTCCTCCAGCCCCTCGCCCGGCAGCACGTCGAGCGAGGTGGCGCGGCCCACGACCCGGCGCTCCTCCTCGTCCTCCTTCGCCTGCTGGAACTCCTTCAGCCGGAGGTTGGTCCCCAAAAGGCGGCGCATCATGCGCGCAGCGCGCCGGTCAACCGCCTTGATCTCCGCAGTCAGCTCGGCGTCGCACAGCGCTTCTGCCGCTGCTGCCGTTTGCGCGCCGACCGCCTCGCCGGCGAAGCGCGAGAAGGCGAAGGCGGTACCAAAGGGCGAGAACACCTGGTACATGTCGGCCGTGCCCTCGATCGCCCCCTCCGCCTGCGCGGAGGTCGTGAAGGTGCCCGCGTCGGGGTAGGTGTCGAGCATGCCCACGCGCGGCTGACCCGGTGCATCGGCAAAAGACTGGCCAATCAGGCCGTGCACGACCGGCGGCGCCTTGTTGCGCACGGAGTGCGAGAGCTCGAGGTCGAGCCGGTGGTGAGGACCCGAGACTCGGTCGTGCACGCGGTCACCATGCACGACGACTGTCCCCCGGTGGGTGCTGCTCTCGAACGGCGCCACCTGGAAAGTGGCGGTGGAGTGGTGGACCGACGCGTTGAGCCCGCCGCAGGAGCGGTGCGTGTGCTTGCGGATCGAGTACTCGTGGCCGCCGCAGCTCGTCTTGACGGCGTGCCAGCCCCAGTTGTATTCGTTCAGCTCCGAAGCAAAGTAGCTCGCGTACGCCCACTTGCAGGTCTTTTCGCCCGCGACGAGTGCCGCCACGTGGACCTCGGTGATGAAGGTGCCATTAACCAGCAGCCATTTGTTGTGGAGAAAGTACATCGCCTCCTCAATCTTCACGGCGACGGTGATCCCTTTGGCCGATAGCATATTGAAGTAGCCTCCGTCCTTTCCGCGGAAGTCGGCGCGGCCGTCGTTCGCCAAGAAGAGGTGCGACAGTTTGGGGCGCCGCTTGGGCAGTAGTCGCCCATGCAGCACGCACCGCCGGAGAAGGTGGCTTGATCGCACGCACTCGAAGCAGAGCATGTGGCCCTTGAGTCCCATCTGCATGGCCGCCTGGTCCGTCTTGGCCACATTCGATCCCTCAGCTAGCGCGAGCCCAGCCAGACTGATGACGAGCAGGGTGTGTCTCCCCAGTGTGCTGAACAGCGCAGTTACAGACGATAGCGCAGAGGAGCAGCGGGGAAGATCTGGTGCACGCTGGCGGGACGAGTGGAGCTCATTGGGCAACCCGTCGCCGGCCGTGCCCATGTTGGTGTGCGCCGCGGCGCCATCGAGCAGCAGCGCACCGAGGAGGTGACGCGGCATTGGCAGCTCGTTCTGAAGATGACGGCCTTGCTTGTCGAGCCTCCTTCGCCGGCAGCGGTGGCGGCTGCAGTAGCCGGCGAGGCAGAGGGAAAGGGCGAGGGCGGCACCCAGCGCCACCTGAACCCCCCGCGGCTCGAGCACGTCTGCCATCTGCGTGTAGATGGTGATGGGGGTGAGCGGCGGCAGCGGAGGGGGAGGCGGCGGTCCCGGCGGCGGCGGCTTGGGCGAGGGAGGGGGCGACGGCGGTGGCGAGGGAGGGAGCGGAGGGGGCGGCGGCGTGGGAGGCGGCGGCGGCGGCGGAGGCGACGGCGGCGGCGGCAGTGAGGGCGGCGGAGGCGACGGCGGCGGCGAGAGTGGCGGCGGCGGCGACGGCGGCGGCGGGAGCGATGGCGGCGGCGGCGGCGGGAGCGATGGCGGCGGAGGCGACGGCGGCGGCGGGGGCTGCGGCTCGCATTGGCTACACTCGCCTGGGAAGTCCAACGCCACTTTGTCGCACGCCGCCCGACGCTCGAAGCGCCCGCTGTAGCCTGCGATACATTGAGACCTCACGCCCCGCGACTGTCTTCCACGCTCGCAGGCGGGCCTATCCGCCGTGCCACGCCATGCGTGATCATCGCTGGGGGCAGCGGTGCGCGTGCGACTGCGGTTATGCCAGAAACAGGGAACCGAGAGGAATCGCACGTCTGCTTTCCTGTGTGGGACGCAGTATGCAGAGATTTCATGGGGAGAAAGTGCTCGGAAGAGGTCATACGGGGTCGTCCCGCACTCCTCAGCATAGGTACTGACATTCCTGAGCGCGCGCGTGAGCGCGCGTGCGATTTTTCTATTTAATGACGTGACTTTAAACCAAGTGCGGTCTCACGCAGACGGCAGAGAACGCAAGCCCAGGAGCGGGGAGACTTTTATGTTGTGCGTATAAGAAAACTACGGCTTGCCGTGGCACTTTTTGAACTTGAGACCCGAGCCGCAAGCGCATCGCTCATTTTGACCCTGCTTCGGCCGACTGGCGGCGAGCGCTCTCTTGCACGCCATCACACTTTGCAGCGCTGAGCGTGTGTTCGAGTGGTTGTCGCCCAACACGGCTCGAAGCCCCTCGAGCGCCTCGCGAAGCAGCGCCTCCGCGCCTTCCAAGTCGCCCTTGGCGTACAGCAGCAAGCCGAGGTTGCTGATCGAGGTGAGCGTGCTCGGATGCCTGTCGCCGAGCGTCTCTCGCTGCGCCTCCAGCGCCTCGCGGAACAGCGCCTCCGCGCCGTCCAAGTCGGCCTTGGCCTTCAGCAGCTGCGTGCCGAGGTTGTTGATCGACTTGAGCGTGCTCGGGTGCCGGTCGCCGAGCGTCTCTCGCTGCGCCTCCAGCGCCTCGCGTTTTAGCGCCTCCGCGCCCTCCAAGTCGCCCTTGTCCTGTAGCAGCGAGCCGAGGTTGTAGATCGAGGTGAGCGTCCTCGGATGCCTGTCGCCGAGCGTCTCTCGGCTCGCCTCCAGCGCCTCGCGAAGCAGCAACGCCGCGCCGTCCAGGTCGCCCTTGGCGTGCAGCAGCTGGCCGAGGTTGTTGATCGAGGCGAGCGTGTCCGGGTGCCGGACGCCGAGCGTCTCTCGCTGCCCCTCCAGCGCCTCGCGTAACAGCGCCTCCGCGCCGCCCAGGTCGCCCTTGGCCTCCAGCAGCGAGCCGAGGTTGCTGATCGAGGTGAGCGTCCTCGGATGCCTGTCGCCGAGCGTCTCTCGGCTCGCCTCCAGCGCCTCGCGAAGCAGCAACGCCGCGCCGTCCAGGTCGCCCTTGGCCTTCAGCAGCTCGCCGAGGTTGTTGATCGAGCCGAGCGTGCTCGGGTGCCTGTCGCCGAGCGTCTCTCGCTGCCCCTCCAGCGCCTCGCGTAACAGCGCCTCCGCGCCGCCCAGGTCGCCCTTGGCCTCCAGCAGCGAGCCGAGGCTGCTGATCGAGGTGAGCGTGTCCGGATGCCTGTCGCCGAGCGTCTCCCGCATCGCCTCCAGCGCCTCGCGAAGCAGCGCCTCCGCGCCGCCCAAGTCGCCCTTGGCGTTCAGCAGCGAGCCGAGGTTGCTGATTGAAGTGAGCGTGTTCTGGTGCAGGACGCCGAGCGTCTCTCGCCTCGCCTCCAGCGCCTCGCGAAGCAGCGTCTCCGCGCCGTCCACGTCGCTCTTGGCGTTCAGCAGCGAGCCGAGGTCGTTGATCGAGGTGAGCGTGTTCGGGTGCCGGTCGCCGAGCGTCTCTCGCTGCGCCTCCAGCGCCTCGCGAAGCAGCGCCTCCGCGCCTTCCAAGTCGCCCTTCCTGTGCAGCAGCGAGCCGAGGTTGTTGATCGAGAACAGCGTGTCCGGGTGGTTGTCGCCGAGTGCCACTCGGCTCGCCTCCAGTGCCTCGCGACACAGCACCTCCGCGCCGTCCAAGTCGCCCTTCCTGTGCAGCAGCGAGCCGAGGTCGTTGATCGAGCCGAGCGTGTTCGGGTGCCGGTCGCCGAGCGTCTCCCGCATCGCCTCCAGCGCCTCGCGAAGCAGCGCCTCCGCGCCTTCCAAGTCGCCCTTGGCGTTCAGCAGCTGGCCGAGGTTGTTGATCGAGGTGAGCGTGTTCGGGTGCCGGTCGCCGAGCGTCTCCCGCATCGCCTCCAGTGCCTCGCGAAGCAGCGCCTCCGCGCCGTCCAGGTCGCCCTTGGCGTTCAGCAGCGAGCCGAGGTTGCTGATTGAAGTGAGCGTGTTCGGGTGCCGGTCGCCGAGCGTCTCTCGCTGCCCCTCCAGCGCCTCGCGTTTTAGCGCCTCCGCGCCCTCCAAGTCGCCCTTGTCCTGTAGCAGCGAGCCGAGGTTGTAGATCGAGGTGAGCGTCCTCGGATGCCTGTCGCCGAGAGTCTCTCGCCTCGCCTCCAGCGCCTCGCGAAGCAGCGCCTCCGCGCCGTCCAGGTCGCCCTTGGCCTCCAGCAGCATGCCGAGGTTGTTGATCGAGGTGAGCGTGTCCGGGTGGTTGTCGCCGAGCGTCTCTCGGCTCGCCTCCAGCGCCTCGCGTAACAGCGCCTCCCCCACCTCCCAATGAGCCATCCCACCCCTGCCGTTATGCCACCCGCCAAGGCCGCCTGCCAGCGCCGCCTGCCAAAGCGGCGACAGCACGCCCGCACCGTGCAGCGCCTCAACGCATGGCTGCAGCGCGTCGACGTCCTCGCGGTGGCTGTGCTCGCCGGCACGCGGCACAAAGCGAGCACCCAGCACAGCCCGCAGCGCCCCCCACTCCGCCAGCGACCGCTCCGGCAGCAGCTCCTCCGCTGTTGGCGCGCGCGTCAGCACGTGCCTCGCCGACCGCTGGACGAGCTGGTGCATGTGCAAAGCGTCGCCGCCCTCGATGCGAACCAGCCCCACCGCCTCCAGAGCCGTGGCGGCGGATGCGAAGAGCCCGCTGTCGCCAAACAGCGAGCCACCGCCCATGCCAGAGCCCTCGCCCAGCCCCTCCCGCGACGCAAATAGCCGCGACGGCACGCCGTCTGCATTCAGCACCGACAGCATCGCCAGCAGCGACCGCGCCGCAGCAACCATCTCCCCCTCCAAGCCGCACTCGTCGAGCCGCCGGATCAGCTCCCGCACAGCGCCGTGCCGCCGCCGCACGCACCGCTTCTGCACGTCGTGCGCCCCCTCCAGACTCGGCATCGGCTCCGCCCGCCACCGCCGCATGATGCCCCGCGCCCGCTCCAGCGCCGTCTCAGTCACTGCGCCGTCCGGCCCCTTCTTGTCCTGCAAGCCGACGAACGCGCTCTTGAGGAGCGCCACGTCGAGAGGGAGTTGCGTGCTAGCTGCGCCGCCCTGGCCGCTGCTCAGCTCCTCCTCCAAGTAGCGCCGCAATCCAACCTCCTCGTCGCTCAGGATCGCATCTCCTATCGGCGGCCGCCCCGCCGCCAGCAGCTGCATCGACTCGTCCGTGCTCAGCCCGCCCACCTCCCACGCCGCCACCTCCTCCGGCAACGCCTCCCGCCGCTGGCTCGTCAGAAGCACCCGCCCCGCCACCCGCCCGTCGCTCCCTCGCGGCAGCAGCGCAAGCACGCCCGCCAGCGCCGCCTCGCCCGCCCCGATATCATCCACTATCAGCAGCCAGCCGCTGCTCGCCGCAAAGTGCCGTCGCGCCGCCTCCACCGCCTCTACCTCATCTGCGTCCGCCGCCAAGCCGGTCGCGTGCGTGCGAGCGAAGCGGGCCAGCTCCTGCCGGAACGTCAGCGGCGAGCTGCCCTGCATGAACTCCTGCCACGGCAGCTCAGCTTGCGTCGCGAACCCGACCGCGATCGCCGCGACCGTCTTGCCGGCGCCAGACTCGCCGTGCAGCGCCGCGACGCAATGCGCAGAGTCTCGCAGCCGCGCCGCCACCTCCTCCACCAAGCTGTCGCGGCCGACGAGGTAGCCGTGCGCGCCTCGCGGATCGCGGAAGCCGATGCGAAGGCTGCTCGCGCTGGGAGCGCCTCGCAAGTGCACCGGCACCGCCGCCGTCGCCGCCGCCGCGTCACCCGACAGCTGTAGCTGCTGGAAAGCCTGGTCCAGCTCCGCCGCCGCCTCTCCTCCCCTCGCCGCCGCCAGCTCTAGAAGCCGCCCCGCCGGCAGCTGCAGCGAGTCAAAGGCATCGGCCAGATCGCCTACTAGCCCGCCGACCCGCGCCCAGTCGAAGCTGTCGAGCTTGCCGTGCTCGCGGTCGTGCCTCGCCGCCAGCAGCGCCCCCGCTTTTCCCATCAGAGGCTCGAGAGACGCCTTCTTCGCAGCCGCCGCCGGCCACTTCTTCTTGAGCTCCTTGCCGTGGCTCATCAGCGCGGCGCAGATGGACTTCCCGCCACCCGGCGGCTTCCCCGCTAGGTCCATCGGCAGCTTCAGCCACGGCGGCGGCGCCCCCTCCCACCGCTCGCAGATGGCGCCGCCCAGCGCCGCCGCTGTGTGTTGTAGGGCGCTCTCGAGCACCGAGTGGCGCAGCTGCTCGTCGCTGAGGTCGACGGTCAGGTCGACGACGAGCGGCGTGCCCTCGCCCATCACGCTCGACGGGCTGCCCGGCGCGGCGCGCCGCTCCGCCTCCGCCTCTGCAATGCGCTGCAGCAGCGGCAGGGCCAGCGCCGCCTCGCCGACGCCCTCTCCGTGCGCTCGCAGCACCTCGAGGACGGCCTTGCTGCCGGCGAGGCACTCGGAGACGGAGGGCTGGCCGAGCGACGGGTGGGCCAGGCTGTTGCGCAGGAAGCCGACGTGGTGCACGCGGTTCCGGTAGATCTCGCTCGCCGCGTCGCTCTCCCTCGCGGGCGGCGGCTTGAAGGCGTCGAGGTGGAGCTGGATGACCTCGCCGAGGCGGTAGGCGTCCCACTCGTCGAGGTAGTCCTTGTTGAAGTCGCGCGCAAAATTCTCGCTCAGGCACTCGCGGCACAGGTGCGCCCAGCGAGGCACGTAGTCGTGCTTTGCCTTGAGCCGCTCCCGCTCCTCGGCCGCGACGCCTTGCGGCTCGTCGCCCCACGTCTCGAACGCCCACTGCTTGACGCGCGGCGTCAGCGCGGCCTCGAAGCGGCGGATCGCGAGCCGCAGCAGCGCGAGCGCGACGTGGGTCGGCTCGAGAAAAGGCGGCGAGGGCAGAGACGCGTCCATTGACATCGGCGACTCACCTTATCAGCTGGGTGTACTCGAGTAGGTACTCGAGTATATTGAGAGAGATCTCTATATTGATGATTAATCAAGACACAGAGCTCACACAGAATCACAGCGGGAGGAAAGCGGCGAGTCGCAATTCCAGGGGTCGTTGTGGCGGGCCACCCTGTCCAGAGAGGCATGGATGCCAATCTGGGGTCTCTCGACCGAGTCTATGAAGCCCTGGCCGCCTCCCGGTGGTGGCAAACAAAGGTTGTAGAACCAAGCGACGGAGATGGTGCGGGGGTACGGGTGTTCCAGGGTGTCACGACACGCACCGACCCTTCACGAACCGAAAGGCTGTGCCCGCGGGGAAGGCACAGTAATTCGGCCAACGAGGCTTCGGCCAACGAAAAAAAACCCTATGGCCCTCCGCCCGCCCTTGCCTCCGCCCAGCCCTCCGCCCTCCGCTCTCGCCCTCCGCCCTTGCCCTGGCCGGCCTGGGTGGCATCTCTTCATCTTCACGCGCCAAGTGGGAGGGTCGAGGGAAGTGGACGGGGCCCTGAGCCAACCTAGCCGCCATACGGAATGGGGCGCCCAACACGTGCCCGGATTACCGTGCCCCTTGCACGCCGGGCACGGCCTTTCGGTTCGTGAAGGGTCGGTGCGTGTCGTGCCCCCCTCGGCCTTGGTGAGCAGTCACATCCGTGCTCCCCGCCATCTCCATCGCCTGGTCTGCGAATGCTTATCAGCATTATCAGCCACGAAAGGAGAGCGTGGCCGAGGGTTGCATAGACTCGATCGCAAGATCCCAGAAAGGCACCTCCGCCTCTGGACAGGGTGGCCCGCACTAATCGACCCCTGTTAAGTGACTCGTTTCGCTTACCACCCACTGTGATTTTGTGTTAGCTCACCCCTCATCATGGACGCGTCGTGGACAGGCCCACGTCGCCTCTCAGCACTTGTCGACAGCTCACTCTCGCTCCGATGCCCACCCTCTCGAACGCGCCGACGCGCTCCCCGATTGACGGCCCGCACGCGCCTGCGGGCCCCGCCCGCTTCGCCGCGAGCCCCGTCAGTCCGTGCGAAAAGCGAGGCGGCGCGGGGGGAGCCCGCTCACGCAAGCCCTGAGGCGCGAGCCACACCCGCCGTCGCGCCGCCGAGCTCCGAGGCCGCCGCCCGCTCGCTTGCGCTCCTGCTCGCCGCGACGGGTGGGGGCCGCGACCTCGCCGACTTCTCCAACCGCGTCTGGCGCCACCTGCACCAGCGTGGCAACCTGCCGCCTGACAACCCGCAGCTCCGCGCGTACCAGAGGAACCTGCCCACCCTGATCGCGGAGCGGGCGCGGCACGTCCTCGAGCTCGTCGCCGTCGCGCAGGCCGAGGGCGGCGACGGCGCGCCCCACCTCCCCCGCGACGCGTGGCTCTCCGCCCGCCGCTGCTTTGCCTTTCTCGCACCCGGGGCGGGCAAAAGCCTCTCCATCGCCCTCGCCATCGTCCTCTTCCCGCACGCTGCGACGCCGCCGCCGGGGTGCGGTGTGCCCCCGACGGCGGCGCGGCACCTCATCGTCTTCCCCTTCTGCACCAACATCAACGAGCTCCTCGACGAGGGCCTCTGCCTCGAGGAGAGGCCCTGCCGCGAGTGCCGCGCCGCAGCGAGGCAGGCCGAGCCCGCCTGCTGCGACGCGTGCCGCAACGAGCTGCACCACGCCGCGGAGGCGTCGTCGCTCTGCTCGCGGCTCGGCCTCCGCCGCACCCACGTCATCGAGCTCGCGCGCCACGTCTACGTCCTCCCCGACCGCTTCAACCCGCGCGAGAACCTGCGCCACCGGCGCGACTTTGAGCAGGCGTGGATCGTGCTCGCGACGCAAGACAAAGTGGCGCGCGCGTGCGAGGCGGGGCACATCGGGCCGGCCGACGTCCGCGCGCTCTGGGCCGACGAGGGCGACTACGGCAACAACCCCGACGAGCGGCGCGGCAGCTTCAGCTGGGACATCATCCAGCGCACGCTCTGGGCCTCGTGGGTCAACCTCTTCTTGGGCACCTGCGCCGAGTGGATGCGCGACCTGCCCGAGCTGGCGCGCGGAGCACCGTCCCCCCCCCCTCTCCTCTCTCCCCCTCACCGCCCCCCTCTCCCCCGCCGCAGGTCCGCTTCACGTACGGCGACCTGTACCGCTCCTACGACGCCTGCCAGCTCACCGTCACGACGCTCTGCGCGCACGGGCTCGTGGTGGGCGGGCGCCGCATCGGGGACGAGCCGCTCACGGAGGAGGACGTGGACGTGATCCGCACCAACCGGCGCGCGCAGCAGCAGCACCTCCAGGCACGCCCCGCTAGCCCCTCCTCTCCTCGCCCTCTCCCTTCCCTCCCTTCCCCTCTTCGCCCCCTCTTTTCCGCCTTTTTTTGCCCCCCGGGCCCCCCCCGGACCCCCCCCCCCCCCCCTTTCCGGCTCCCCGCTGGCAGGTCTTCTGCCGCAAACTCCTCAACCAGCACGACGAGTGGCGCATCCCCACGCAGGGCGTGCTCTTCAACGCCCGCAACTCGGGCGGCGAGGAGGTCTGGCGCCAGCTCTGCGGCATCGCGGCGCGGCTGCCTCCGTCGCCAGTCACCGGCCGGCCGCTGCGCGTCGCGGTCGCGTACACGCGCCTCTCGAGAGCCGAGGACACAGCGCCCTTCCGCAACACGGAGCGCGTCATCGCCGCCTTCAAAGCGCTCGAGTACGACATCATCGTGCTGTGCGCTGCCCCTCCTCCCCTCCCCCCCCCCCCCCACTGGCGCCGCCATCGCCACTCGCTCACCCCCCCTCCCCCCATTTCTTCCGCAGGTCCAACATCGGCTGCCGCGGCCTCAACAACTCGATGATCATGGTGGGGCTCAACATGTACCCGCACAACACCAGCGTCGCCTCGCGCAACGAGCAGTGGCAGCGCGTCAACCGGCTCATCCGGCCGATCCGGCTCGACCCGCGGCTCGTCGAGCTGGTCGAGCGACTCTACGGCCGAGAGGTGGCCGCCGCGCTGGGCCAGTGCGCCCGCCCCGCGCCCGCACCCCCCGCCCTCGCGCCCGCGCCGCGCTGACCGCTCCTCCTCCCTCTTTCAAAGGTTCGTGCTGCACCACCGGCTGCACCGCCTCCACCAGCGCGCCGACCTGCTCGAGATCGACGCCAACTTCGCGGCCAACAACGCCAACCTGCGGCAGTGCATCGCCGAGCAGGGCGCCGAGGCGGCGGTCACCCTCTCCAGCGAGCGGCTCGTCGACCTGCTCCCGCCCGAGGCGCTGCTGCCCGCCGACGGCGAGGGCGAGGAGGGCGAGGGCTCGCTCGACGGCAGCAGCGTCCTTAGCGAGGAGAGCGGCGGGGAGGAGAGCGAGGAGAGCGGCGAGGAGAGCGAGGAGGAGGGGGAGGAGGCGGCGGCGCTGCGGCGGGAGGAGGAGGAGCGGCGGCGGCGGCAGGAGGAGGAGCAGCAGCTTGCGGCGGTGGCGCGCGAGCGGGAGCGGCGGGAGCGCGCGGCGCGCGCGAGAGAGGCGCGCCAGCAGGCGCAGATCCGGCGCGACGGGCAGATGTGGTCCCGCTTCCGGGCGTGGCCGCGGCGGTCGCGGAAAACGGTGACGCTTGACACGCTGGTCGGCTCGATCCTCAACGCGATGGACATCTCCATCCACGAGCGGCGGCGGGTCGCGACCCTCTTCCAGCGCGCCCTCGCCGAGGGCCCCGCCGTGCTGAGCGAGCTGGCCGGCCTCGGCGGGGGCGGCCCCCTCCTCGCCCCCGGCCGGTCCCTCCTCCGCCTCCACGAGCGGGTTGCCGAGGTGCGCGGCGAGCCCGCCCCGATCTGCGCCGTCTGCCGCGAGCCGCCGCAGCCCGGCTCGGCCTGCATCCTGTGCTGCTGCTTCGGCGTCATGTGCGTCGCGTGCCTCGACCGCTGCCCGACCTGCCCGCTCTGCCGCTGCCGCCGCTGCTCCGCCGCCCTCGTCCCGCCAGTCGACGTCCCCTCGCCCCTACTCGCCAGCCTGCTGGAGCGGCCGCTGCAGCGGCTTCACGCAAGAGGCTTCACGCAAGAGGGTCTCCTCTCGCAGTCGCCGCGCCTCTTCCAGGAGCTGCAGTTCATGGTCCGGCGCTGGGAGCAAGCGCTGCCGCCACCTCCACCTCCTCCGCCGCCAGTCGACGCCCCCTCGCCTCTCCTTGCCGGCCTGCTGGAGCGGCTGCGCCACGCCGCGACCGTCAGCCGTACTTACTCGTGCGTGTTTGTGCCGTTTGTGCACGCGCTGCTGCAAGACGGAGAAATGGCGGCCGAGGCGGCGGCGTGGGCGGCGCACGACCCGGCGTGGGCGGCCCTGCTCGAGCGGTACCGCGAGTTCTTCGAGGCGTCGCCGCGCCTCGCGCCGCTGCTCCAGCCCAACGCCGTCCGTGACATCAACTTGGCGGCGTTGCCCGGCTGGCCGTACATTGAACCGGCGCCCGAGCAAGAGGACCCGGCGCTGCGCGGGCGGCAGGACGAGCCGTGGCCGCTGCAGAGCCCGGGGCGGGGCTTCACGCAGGAGGGCCTTCTCTCGCAGTCGCCGCCCCTCTTCCAGGAGCTGCAGTTCATGGTCCGGCGCTGGGAGCAAGCGCTGCCGCCGCCGCCGCCGCCCGACCCAACGCCGGTCACGCCGCCTCCGCCGCCGCCGCCAGACTCACCTCCTCCGGGCGGTGGTCGACGAGATTGCAACCAGCGTGCTCGGCGACGTGATGTATGACCACGCGCATCTGCGCCGCCGCCCCGAGCTGCGCGAGCACCTGCTCAGGGGCACGGAGCGGGAGGTGCGGGCGCGGCTGGCGGGGCTGATCAACGCGATGCACGGCGGTGGTCTGCCGACCACGTACCGCCGCATCCGCTTCGACGCGGCGGCGCACGGCGGCGGCGGCGGCGGGCGGGTGGCGGTGGTGCTGCGGCTGCTCGTCTGAGAATTCGGCCGCTTTGATGATGTTCGTTCGGGGGGCAGAGGGAAGGGACGCCCCAACCAGGCGTGGTTGGCTGCAAGCTCGCTTTCCCACGGGCGAGAGCCGAGCTGTGACTGTCGCACGCACGCAGAGGGGAGCGTGCCTTGGGGCGGGGGACTGCACTCTGGGGTCTCTGGGAAGAGCTCGAAATCGTCCTGTCGCGCTTAGTGTGAGCGTGGCCAGTGAGGAGGCGTGAGAGACTAAAAATCAAACGATTGACTCTGGGGGGAGGCGGGGGCCCCCGGAGGCACCGTGCGCCGTGTGCAGCAGTGCGGAAACGGGGCTCCGGCTCCGCTAGTCTCAGCTAGCACCGACTTCCCGAATGATCACGGTTGATCAGAGGGCAGATTTGGAGAGATCTCGAGGAGTACATACAGATAGACCCTTCAACCATCAGAAAACTCTGACCTGATCGGTCCGTACTGACCGCCGACAGATCACTCCAGACAGCAGACAGGCCGACGCAGTGCTTGCCATTTACTGGTAAATGAGTGGTATTTACCACTTATTTGATTCTCCTAGGGAGTGGTATGGTATGAGCAGAGAGTGGTATGGTAAAATACCGAGCACAATACCGACCGCCCACCAGCCGGGCGCAGCCCGGCTGGGCGCCGGCCGCCGGTGGACCCCCCACTAGCCACTACGACCGCCCCCCATCCAGGAGAAGAGCGTGGCGGCCATGATGCCATCGCCATCGCCCGCCTCCTCCCCCGCACCAGCCGCAGGGCCAGCAACCTGGGGCATGGGGGCTCCGCCGCCGCCGCCACTCCCCATCACCGCTGTCCGCAGCGCCGACCAGCTCCGCCAAGGCAGGTGCTCCACACTTGGCTCTCGTAGCGCCCGCGCGAGCTCTGTGCCCACCACTCCTCGATGATCTCCTTCACCGGGATCTTTGAGGGGTCCTTCCACTCGGCGCCGAGCGAGCAGATGGTCATGAGCAACCGCATTCCTACCTGTTGGTATCAATAAAATTCCACGTCGGTGCAGAAAATCTTATATACTTATTCGGCGCCGGGGCGCGCTCTGCGCTGCGCGGCGTGCTCTGCGACTTGCTGGCCGCCAGGACCTCCGCACGGACTTGTGGGAACCGCCCGAGGCGAGCTCCAAGCCGCCGCGCACTGCACATGGCAGCATTTCTGCATGGCAGTCCCAGCACCTTCTGCGGCGCCGTGCCACCCATTCCACATGGCTGCAGAAAGAGCAGTACACCCTCCCATTGACCCAACCCGCAACACAAGTGTGCTCGCCTCCAGCACCCAGACCGAGTGCAGCCTCGGCGAGCCAGACACGGCCCTCTCGCCCCTCCCGCCACGCGCGAGCCTCTGCAGCAATGCGCGCAACTTAGCGTCTCATGGCCCGTGGCCGCAGGTTGCTGCTGCTGTGCGCCGACTGCGCGCTCTCTGCCGGCCGCCAGTGTGGGCCATGCATCCTACTATCTCAGGAGCGCAGTGCCTAGCACCCGAGGCGGCGCTCGGACTAGTTTTGCGCGCCGGTGGCGCCGCTGCAGCCACACATGGTATCGCGGCCTCACTCGCGCGCGCAGAGCTCCCAGCGGAGCGCACGCGACGTGCACTTGAGCCTGTAGGCCTCGGCAGCGCCAGCCGATCCCGCGCCGAGCCGGAAGCTGCGCCGCCGCTTAAAGATGCAGAAGCGAGCGTTCTTCACGACGTGTCGGGCGACTCGCACCGGTGGCGGCGTGCACGCCTGCAGCGCGTGCGGCGGCGGCAGAGGCGGCTCGAGGGCGATGTGGATGTTTGGGTAGGCGTGCTGGTTGACACTCGAGCCGAGCCGGACGTCGCGCATAAACTCGCGCTGCTCGTCGTCGGAGAGCGAGATGACGAACTCACGCGGCGTGCTATCCCTCTCTGGGATGAGGCGGTGCGGCGCCACGGTGACGGGGCGCTCCCGCTCACCCCCAGGAAAGTCGACGACGTACCTCTCCCTCGACGTCAGGTACTTGATGATCTTGACCTGCGCTCCGTTGAGCTCGGCATAGTCCTGCAGCCCAATGAGTCGGGCGAGGGCGCCCGGTGGAAAGGAGGCCGCGCCGTGGGCGATGGGCATGTTGGGCCGCGCTGCCGACAGGTCGGCGCGGAGCAGGTTCACCGACCCACGGCCCATGTCGGGGCGGCGGCCCGACGGTGATGCGGCAGGGCCCGGTGTGGGTAGGTTGAGAGGCAGTACCCTGACTGCAGGTGGGAGTCCCGGCTGCAGCGCCGCGTTCTCCGCAGCGCCGGGGCCAAGCAGCAGCGGTGGCGCAGCGGCGCGAGGCTGCTGCGCGCGCCCCGGCGAGAGCACGAGGAGTGGCCCCGCGATCGGCAGAGCGCCGGTGCACTGGTACGCACCGGAGCCGAGCTTGCGCCGCTTCTTCTCCTGCTTTTGCGGCTCGGGCGCCGCATCCTCCGGCGGCGGCGGCGGGAAGAGCAGCTGCTGCAGGTCGGCAGGTAGCCAGCTCTTGCGCACTTTCCAAGAGACGTTGACCTCCTTCCCATCGTCGGCGCAGGTGAGGGTGGAGGAGTATGTGGCCTCGAGGGCGCGGATGAGCGTCGCCTTTGCGGCCAGGGCATTGGTGTACGCCGGCACGGCGGGCATCTCCTTCCTCATCTCGGCCAGCTCCGACTGGCGGCGACGGAGCGCTCTCTCTTGCTCGCCATCGTGAGATCGCGCTCTACTCGGGGCACCAAGGAGGAAGCCCGAAACCGTTTGGGTGTCCGACCCTGAACGGGGGCTGAAGCCTAGCCCAAACGGGGCCCGACGCCCCCGTCCAGAGTCCCGCTGCCCACCCGCTAGTGGTGGCTACCGCCTGCCTCCGCTGGAGGCCGGTTGCGGCTGCGCCGAGCGGAGCGGCGCGCGTACAGCTTCCGCAGCACGCGATGCTGCGCGTCTTCGGCCGGCGGCTGCGCCTCTCGGCGCCCCCCGCCGACTCTCCCGCTCCGATGGTTTGCCCGCTGGATCTCGCCCTCACCGGGACCGCATGGGCGCGCTTTCTGAACGAGCTGCTCACGTGCGGGCTCCTCGACGCGGCCCCCTTCTCCTCCACGGCTGGACTACAGCTTGCTATCGACAGCCTTAATCTGTCGCCAGCGGCATTGGAGGTGAAGGAGCCCGATCTCCTCCCGGTGGGGGGCCTCGCCGCCGCGGCCGCGCTGGCGGGGGATGCTGCTCGTGCGCAGCGTAGGGCGCCTCGCCGAGCCAGCGCCGCGGCGTCCGACATGCTCGGCGGCGGCGTGGTGGTTTCGCGCTGCGCCCCGCCGCCCGGCGGTGCCCCCCGTCGCCACCCCGGCAGCTGGTACCCGTCTGGTGGACCCTCACCGCCGGCGGGGCTCAGGCTGTGGCGCCTAAAGCCTAATGCTGTGGCGCCTAGAAGCCGAGCCGGCTCAGCCACCCACCCGCCGTCTCCCTGGAGGCTCTTGGCGGGTCGCCAGGAATGCGGCGCAAAGCATCCAAACCCGTCTGCTCGGAAGCTTGCACTGTCAGGCTGTGGCGCCTAAAGCCTAATGCTGTGGCGCCTAGAAGCCGGGCCTGCAAGGTACCACTTGGGACGCTCGCGGCACCGGCAGCCGGACGCGCGAGGAACCCGCGGACGCTCACGGTGGCACCGGCGCCGAACTGACCCCGGCTAGTCGCCGACCACACCCACAAAGAACCCTGCACAAAGATCGCAAGGGCGGGGACCTGTTCCTTTTTACCCATCTCACAGTAGAGAGGTGTCCGTTTTTATATATGTATTTAGCGCTTGGTCACATCGGCCCCCGAGGTCAGAGCTTGGCATCTACGATCTAGAGAGTAGAGTACGGCTCTACTCTGTTGATGACAAGAAACTCTTGAGTCTGGGTCAGAGCTTGGCTCTCACGGCCCACACACACACGCCCATCCCCCGCGCGCCCACCGCGTCCGCCCGCTCGCGCCCCTCTCAACAGTACAACACACAAACCCCCCGTTGGCCGTTGATCACGGCATCACGCTCGCTACAGCAACGGACGTCCTCTTGCACACAGCAGACTACAATACACCCAAGCACCGCGCCGGTAGCATGGCACGCAACACATCGCGCAAGCTTGCGCCCCGATGAGCGCCCCCGAACCATACGGTGAGTGCGACCCGCTCGGCCGAGCACTCTCCGTGAGGCAGCACCTCGTGAAGCATGCGGCGCGAGTCAAACAGGACGAGCGTCCCCGCCACCGGCCGCACCTCTGCGACGCGGCTCGCGGTCGCGCCCCGCTCGTCCTCTGCTGCCGCGTCGAGGTAGAGCACCAGGCTTCCCGGCCGCCCCGCGGCTGCCCCTCCCGTGGCAACAACCTCCCCGCCGCCACTCGCGCCCGCCCACTCATCCTCGTTCGGCGAGAGGTAGAGGACTGCGGTCACCTCTCGCATGTAGATGCCCGGGAGGAGAAGAGCGCGAGGGTGCAGGCTCGCGAAGCCGTCCCGATGCGGGCGGTAGCGAGCGCCGCTGCACTGGCCCTCCCGGCTGGCAGCGGGCTCGTAGCACGCCAGCTGGCCCTCGCGCGGCACGCCTAAGAGTGGCCTGGCCGCCTCTGCGCCCTCGACGCGTGCCGCCTCAAAGCCACCGAAGCTCCGCATCGTCGCTGGCAGCGCGCGCAGCTCGGCGAGCGCTGCCACCAGGGCGGGCTGCGCGGCTCTGATACCGAGCCAGTGCACCGAGTCGGTCCGGACCACCTCCCCGCCGACGGCAGGCGCGAATGCGCCGGCCTTGCGCATCGCGGCGACCTCGGCGCGAGCCGCCCGCAGGTGGGCGGCCGTGAGGAAGCGAGCCACCACCACATAGCCGTTCGCTGCGAGGTCCGCCTGCTGACTCGCCGAGAGGCGCGGCGGCGCGGTGCTCGAGAGGCGGAGGAGACGTGCAGCCTCGCCCAAGCCTTGCGGGTCTTCGCGGTACGACACCTCGCCGATGGCGTTGACTCCGGCGAGCGTGGTGGCAAGCGCAGCGCCGGCGGACGCCGTACGGCCGGCGACTCGAAGCATGTGTACACACACATACGTGCACTTTCTACGTGTATGCGCTGGATTCGGGACCAGGCTGGGTGGGTGGGTTCACCTCGACCACCCACCCTTGTTTGTGTCTGTGTGTCGCTCGGTGTCTGTGTGTCGCTCGTGCGTCTCGTCATCATCTGTCTCGGGTCCACCCATACCGCGTTGGTGTCCAGTCCGAGCGTGTGTGTGTGTCGACGGGTAGGGGGGCTGAGCCCGGGCGGTGTCCGGTGTGGAGTCCCCTTCTGATCCCGCCTGGGATGTTGGGTGTGAGGTTGTGGCGGCTTCGATCCCAAGGGGGGGAGCTGATCCCACTCAATAACCAACTCTCAGGGGCAGTAGGTGGGCCAGCTTCAGGCACGCTCATCTCGATCGTCAAGACGTCGCTACGCGCGGTCTTCCGCGGGGGGAGCTGCGTCGACGGGTGCGGGACCGCGGCGCAGCCAGTGCTGCGGCGATGCCTCCGGCTGCTGCGGCGAGTGGTGTGCTGCTCGCTGCGATGGCGAAAAACTCGTCTCGCCACACGCCAAGGGCTTATGCTCTGGCGAGACGTGAGGCGCATGCGCCCAGGAGGGGAGGGGGCATGTGTAACGACACTGCTAGAGATGCCTTTCGGGGCCCAGAGATAAAACTTCTGTGATGCCATGCGTGACCTAGTAGTGTCCCCAGCTATGGGCGTGTCCACGTTGGAGCGGAGCCAGGTGTGGTGTGGGCGCGAGAATAGCTCCGCCGTTCATGGAGGCAACCGATGCGAGTCGACTGGTGTGTGTCGTCGTGGTTTCGTATCAAGAATACTCACTCACTCACACTCCAGTCCGAGCCTGGCTGTTCTTCACCTTCCTAACTACAAACTGACTATCTATCTACTAACTAACACCCTTCCTAGGTCGGACTGTGTTTCGCCTTCCTATCTATCTATCTATGATCAGATCTAGCACAGACGGTCGAGAAGGGCTGTTCTTCACCGTCGGTACATACATGGTTTGTTTTTGTCTCATGGTTTGAGAGAGAGATTTTTAAAGACCAACAAGAAATAGTCAGAAGCTGCGCAGGCCGTCTCGTTTGCATGATCGCAGAAAAAACGGTTTCCCACAACATGTGTCACACACGGCGGCTCCGGCCGCGGCACCTCTCGATGGGTTCCACTTTCTACGCACACCCACACGCACAGGGGAGAGGGGATCACAGGGTCTCACGTAGATCACATACCCTCTCACGAGACACAGGCCCTAACCGCACACACCGGGGAAGGGGCGCTTGGGAGCGGGGGCGGGGGCGGGGACGGGGGCGGGGGCGGGGGCGGGAGCGCGCGCGCGCGAGGGGTGGGGACGCTGCCGTGCGCGCTCAGCGCGCACCACACACCACACGGAGGGAGAGACGCCGAGGAGGCGGCGGCGGCGACGGCGGCGGCAGCGCGCGCGCGGCGCGCGCGACGGCGGGGGGGCGGAGCAGCGACCGCTGGCGCGGCCGCTGCTCCGTCTGTGCCAGGACGCGCGCTCTGCTTGCGCAGAGCGCGTCAAGGGAAGGGCAAGCGTGGCGGCTCGGGACGCGCGGCGGCGGCGGCGAGCAGCCGAGCGCTCCGTGAGCGGTGAGGCGGCCGGGCGAGGGCGCGGCGGGTGACGGGGCAAGGGATCAGCCCACACCCGGCGTCGCTTTTTGAGCGACGCCTGTGGTACGCCTGCGCAGGGGCCGCAGGGCGGTCAGTGGTGGGGCGAGGCGGGGCCGGCCGCGGGCCGGGTGCAAGGCGCCGGCCTCGGCGCCGCCTCGGCGCGCCGCACGGGCCCGGCGAGCCTCTGAGCGAAGCCCTTTTCTGTGAGCAGGGATTCCCTCCCGGCCGGGGTTGTGGCGGAGAGCCGGCATGGGAATCGCCGGCCCCCACCCAGGGGGTGCCCCTGCCAGGCGCCGCAAGCGGTGCCCGACAGGGGCGGGTGCCCCCACCCCGAGGGGTGGGGGCGGGGGCGGGGCCCAAAGTGATTCGGCCTATCGCCTCGGCAAGGTCCTCGGTGCGATTCTCCACGGTGTCCTCGAGCGAGAGTGCGGTAGCCGCGGAGGTGATGACGTCGACATTGGTGGAATCGGCTGGGTCAACGTCAATGTCGATAGCTCTTTCACGTCGGATCCCCTTGTTGTCTCCGATGTGTCGCGCCTGCGCGCTCGGCGTGTATGAAATCCATATCACCCCCTGCTCCACGACTGTGGCTTTAGGCGGCGAGGGCGGGGCGCTAGGCGGCGGAGCCGGTTTGGACACCGCATGTGGGAACACACACGGCTCGCAATCCAAACATGGCCCCGTCACTTCGCTCTGCGTCAGCCAAGGCCCGCCGCGACCATGCCACAGCCCTCCTCGTCGGCCTGCCGACCGAGGTGTCGGCGCACATCTTCAGGCGGCGGCTCGTCCTCTCCGCTCCCCACCTGCCTCACTCTCCCGCGCGCCGCCAGGCACTCACGCACGCATATCAGTCCACTCACCGCGCCACCCGCCCCCGTCCGCCTGCAGCCGGCTCGACCTGCACTGCCTCGGCCGGCTCGCCTGCGTGTCGCGCACCCTCGAGCCGAGCCTCGAGGCTGCGCTCCGCGTCCGCGCTGTCGAGGGCGGCCACTGGCTGCCGGAGACGCTCCCGCCTGGAGAGGTGACTGCCCGTAGGAGAAGACCGCCACGAGCGTCGCATGAGCGCGCTCGCCGCCCCGCCCCACTGCACCCGACACGCCCGTGCCCGCGGCACCCGCGCGTCAACATCTCACTCTCGCCCGCCGCGCCCACCGCCATCCGTTGCACCCGCTGCCGCTGTCCCAGCGTGGACCGATTCGGCTCCACATCCCCCCCCGCCTCCCTCCTGCCCCCCCCCTCCCCCCACACACCTCCCCTTTGCACCGGCGGCGGCGCGAGTCCTCGCGGGCGTCCGACGCCTCTCCGGAGAGGACACTCGCAGAGAACTGCGACCTCACCACCTTCCCACCCACCCTCACCCCGCCCTCTACCCCACCCTCTACCCCGCCCTCTACCCCCCCCTTCCACCCCCCTTCCATCCCCCTTCCACCCCCCCCCTCCCCCCCTCCCCCCCCTCCCCCCCTCCACCCCTCCCTCCCTCCCTCCCTCCCTCCCTCCCCCTAGACCGCCCCCCCTTCTTACCCCCCCCCCCCTCCTTCAGGACGCGTGGCTCCGCCTCCTCCTCTCTCGGGAGAGGCGGAGGGTCTCCCCGACCTCACCCGTCTCTGCAGGCGCGTGGCACACCATCACTGACTCCGTTGAGCACGCACACGTACGGTGATGTCCCACTCGCGTCGGTTGCTGCAGGCTCGTGGCACACCATCTTTGTCGACGAGACCGGCACACCTCTCCTCGTCCGGCGTCGATTGCACCCCTCCTCGAGTTCCTACTCCTCTGAGTCTGGAGCAGGCAACCTCTACTCGTCCGGCGTCGAGCGGGTAGAGGGCCCCGACCGGCGCGGGCTGCTGGGCCACGGCGCGCTGCAGCAGCCGGAGGCGGGGCGGGGCCTAGAAAGCGGGATAGAAAGCGGGACACGGGAATGGAGGAATGGAGGAGTGGAGTTAGGCGGGCCTTCCCTCGCCGACGCTAACAACACTAGTCGCAGTAATAATAATAGGAATAGGAAGAGTGGCAGTAGTAGTAGTACTAATAATAGGCGGGCCTTCCCTCGCCGACGCCGATCCGCTCGATGCTGGGCGTGGCGATCCGCTCCGTCGCCGCGGGCAACAAGCACTCCCTCGCCATCTCCAGCAGCGGGCAGCTCTTCACGTGGCGAGAGACCGCACCACCCACGGGACCTGAACCCACACTGGAGTCGATACTCTGGAGGTATGGTACCAGGGGACGCGGCGCCGACGGGCAGTGCGGCCACGGCGACCAGGTTCCCCCCCCCCCACACCCACACCCACCCACACACACACACACACATCCCATACCTTAGGTCCGCCGCTGCCAGCCCACCCTCCTCCCACAATCTCCCAACAGTCTCCCACAGTCTCCCACAATCTCCCCCCTAGGTCCGCCGCTGCCAGCCAACCCTCGTCAGCCGGCTTGCCGACATCCCCATCGCCGCCGCCGCTGCCGGAGGCTACCACTCCATCTGCGCGGCGGCGGACGGCACCTTCTACACCTTCGGCTCCGGCGCGCCCAACAAAGGTCCTCAATAGCGCGCTCTGTTTGTTTTCTGTTTCAGGCTCCGTCTACACCTTCGGCTCCGGCGCTCGCGGCCGCATCGGCCATGGAGACGAGACGGACAGGCGGTTGCCTCTCGGCTGCCTCTCGGTTGCCTCTCGGCTGTCTCTCGGCTACCTCTCGGCTGCCTCTCGGCTGTCTCTCGGCTGCCTCTCAGCTGCCTCTCGGCTGCCTCTCGGCTGCCTCTCGGCTACCTCTCGGCTGTCTCTCGGCTGCCTCTCGGCTGCCTCTCGGCTGCCTCTCGGCTGCCTCTCGGCCGCCTCTCGGCTGTACCTCGGCTGCCTCTCGGCTGCCTCTCGGCTGCCTCTCGGTTGTCTCTCGGCTGCCTCTCGGTTGCCTCTCGGCTGCCTCTCGGCTGCCTCTCGGCTGCCTCTCGGCTACCTCTCGGCTGTCTCTCGGCTGCCTCTCGGCTGCCTCTCGGCTGCCTCCCGGCTGCCTCCCGGCTGCCTCCCGGCTGCCTCCCGGCTACCTCTCGGCTACCTCTCGGCTACCTCTCGGCTACCTCCCGGCTACCTCCCGGCTACCTCTCGGCTGCCTCTCGGACAGGCACGTGCCGCAGCTCGTCGAGGCGTTGCGCGAGTGCAGCGTGGTGGCGGTGTCGGCGGGGTACAAGCACTCGATGGCGCTCACCGACAGCGGCGCCGCCTCGAGGGGCAAGCGCAGAGCACTCTCTGTTGTGTTTGGTTCTTCTGAGGACGCTGTTGGTACTCAGGCGCCGCCTGCTCGAGGGACGGACACAAGCGCAGCGTCTCTGAGCTAACGAGCACCGCCGTCGTTGGTCCAGGCGCCGTCTACTCTTGGGGGAAGGGCAAGCACGGCCGGCTTGGGCAGGGCGACACGGCCAACCGGCTCTCTCCCATGCGGGTCGAGGCGCTGCGCGGCGAGGCCGTGGTCTGCATCGCCGCGGGCGGGCACCACTCGTGCGCCGCTCTGCGCAACGGCCAAGTCTATTCGTGGGGCGCTTCTTCTGGGAACCTTCTAGGAACCTTCTAGGAACCTTCTAGGCCAAGTCTACTCGTGGGGACTCGACGACAACGGCCAGCTGGGCGGGGGGGGAGGGGGCGGCGAGCCGTGCCGCGAGGGCGGAGGCTCGTCCCAGCACGAGGACAGCGGCCAGCACAGCGGCCAGCAGCCGGCGCCGGGCGGGCTCGCGCCGCTCCACTTCCCACCAGGCGGCGTGGGACCTCGGCAGAGCCACCTAGAAGCGGGAAGGTCTCCCCCTATCTCCCCCTATCTCCCCCTATCTCCCCCTATCTCCCCCTATCTCCCCCTCGTCTCCACGCTTGCCCTCTGTACCCCCGCTGTACCCCTC